CCGCTGCTGCTGCTGCTGTTGCTGCTGCTGCAGCGGGGCCAGCAGCAGCTGCTGCTGCTCATGCTGCAGCAGCAGCAAACCAGTGGGGCCTGGACCAAGGCGTTGGTGCTGCTGTCAAGCAGCATTTGGAGCAGCAGCTGCAGCAGCGCCCCTCTTGGGAAGCAGTGCAGCAGCAAGTCTGCTGCGCCTCGGGGGCCGCTGCTGCAGCAGCAGCAGCAGGTGCTGCTGCGGCTGCTGCTGCGTGCAACGCTAAGCTGCAGCAGCAGCAGCAGCTAGAAGCCCTCCTGTGCATGATAGAACAGTTGCCAGAAGCAGAAGCAGACGCAGCACGGGAGATGCTGCTGCTGCCACCCAAATGCCGCAGCACCAGCAACAGCAGCAGGAGCAACAGCAGCAGCAGCAGCAGCAGCCAACTGACGCACGGATGCGGCGAGCTGCAGCGACAGCAGCAGCTATCTCAAGAGGCTCTAAATCTGCTGCAGCATTTGACTGTAGGCCAGCAGCAGCAGCAGCAGCAAGATCAGCAGCAGCAGTCCGTGTCCGAGCTGCTGCAGCAGCTGCAGCAGCAGAAGCAGCAGGCGCAGGAGCAGCTGCAGCAGCTGCTGCTAGACGACTGCAGCAGCAGCATGAACAACAAAGAGCAGCAACAGCAGCAGCAAGAAGAAGTGGAAGAGGCAGCGGAGTGCATGCAGCAGCTGGGGTGCCTCGTGGGGGAGCTGCAGCAGCTGCAGCAGCAGTGTGCTGCGCCGCAGCAGGAACAGCGGCAGCAGCAAGACGACTTGCTGCTGCTGCAGCAGCTACATGCTGCTGCTGATGAGGCGCTGCTGCAGCGAAGAAAAGCTCTTTTCCTTGAGCAGCTATCAGTGGCACTTCAGGTTAGCTGGCGCTGCTGCTGGTGCTGCTGCTGCTGTTGCTGTTGTTGCTGCTGTTGCTGTTGTTGGGTTGCATTTGCTGCTACTGCTGCTGCTTCTGCTGCTTTTTTGCGGCTGCTCTTGTGTATTTTGCTGCTGCGTGTGCTGCTGCTGGTGCGGGTTTTGCCGTTGCTGCTGCGCTGCTGTTATCCTTTTGGTGTTGCTGCTGTTGCTGCTGCTGCTCTCGTGCGTGCCTTTGCAGCTCACCGAAAAAGCAGCAGTATTGCTGCAGTCATGCGAAGATGCGGCAGCAGCAGCAGCTGCTGCTGCTGCTGCTGATGATTCTGGTGGCGTGGAGGGCCTCAGCAGCCAGGAGGCTGCGTTGCTCCTGCTGCTGCAGCAGCTAGGGAGAATCCTTGCTGCTGCTGTGCTGCCCTTCCGCAGCAGCAGCTTCCTGTCTCGGCGGCTGCTGCTGCTGCTGCCGCGCTGCAGGCGGCTGCTGCTGCAGTCCGCCAGCAGCGCTCTTCAGTTCTGCCGCTTTGGCAGTGCTGCTGCTGCTGCTGCTGCTGCTGCTGCTGTTGCTAGCGAGCAGGACGCTGCAGAGGACAAAGATACAGCAGCAGCAGAAGGCGCAGCAGCAGCGGCAGCAGCAGCAGCAGCAGCA